TGCTTTCTGGCTCATTGGTTGGCCCAGCTGCATTCTGCGCCGCCCCTGCTGTTCTCACTGGAGCTTCCTGAGCTGATTAGGAGCCTGTTTGAAGCTCCGTTTCTCTTCCAAAGGGCCAGTTCTATAGAACCGGTAGTAAAACCAGCGGGAGGCTCTGCCCACTGACCCTGACATCATTAGAAGTGATCTGCGCATGCGCAGAAGCAAGCGCGATCCCGTTGCGAACCAGTAGTAAAGGAAAGTAGAACCCACCCCTGCCAAAGGGGCATGTGCAAATGAGGTGAGCATGCATGCATGCGTGCGTGCTCACAACCAGCGAACCCATCTCTGGATAAGAAAGACCTAAACATTTCAAAAGCGGTTCAACCTTGACAAAAGTCATATTCCGGGGGGGGGGGGGGTAATGGCTAACCTCTTATGAATTGTTCTCAAGAAAATTGATCATTGTAAGCCAAGTTCAACTTTAAAAAGTCTTTTAAGTCACACTATTGATAGACCTGACTATTATTTTCCAAAATGCTCTGGGGTAGCCAGAGTTGTTTGGTGGTGACGTGATGGGAACTAAGCTACTGGGACAGTAAAAACCAAATTCCTTTTGTTGAAGGAAAGTTCCTGCTGCTGCAGACAGAAAGTGAATAACGAAGAGAACCCAGTCGGTAATTAATATTCCAAAGGATCAGTGACAGACGCAGAAAAATAAAGCCCTACACAACACACAGTTGCTCCCCACAAGCTTAAGTGTGAACAAGTCCAAGGGTAAAGGAGGGGTAACAAGGTCTAAATGGAAGCCAACATGATAAGTCATCCCACTTTTTATTTTATCTAAACAAGAACCTTCTCCTTTATAACTTACAGTACTTTATAAGTTTTCTGAAGGAATTGCCATCTCCTGCAGACATCTGAGGCAGGCTGGACCTGGGCTGTTTGTTTCCAGAGGAACCTTTCAAGAAAGATCTCACAGTGAATGTCAAGAAGGCAGGTGGGCAACACTGGAGGAAGGAGATCAAAGCAAGCTTATCAGAAGGTTCCAGAGACCCACCAAACAAGCAGCACAGGCTAGTCAGCCAATGAATCATGACTGAAATCTTTTATTTTAGTGCTCTGCTGTGCTGGAGGAGGCCAGGAGTAAATTAAACCTGCCACTCTTTGTTTTTCTGTCTGCTTCCAATATTAATTACAGACAGGTTACAATTCCTGCAGTTTACATGCAATGGATTGAGTACTGCAGAGGATCAGCCAAGCGGTATCCCTTGGAACACGTGCCAAGAGACATTGATGGGCATCACAGTAACATAGTCATGAGACCAACAAGACCATGGCCACTGATATCCAGTAGAAGGCAAAATGGCATCATATGTTTCCTGACCCTCATATGCTGCAAATCATGGAATGTGATTGTGCCATCATCCTCCGCATCAGCAGATGCCCATAAGCACAGCCCCCTCAGGGAAGGATTGTGACCACTGAATCTACAATGATCTGATGAAAATTAGGCAATCTGGAGGGGAGGAGAGCCCATTGCCTTTGCTATAGATTTGCAAATTTCCTGAGAATTTGTTGTTAGTTGCGAAGTCATGTCCAACCCATCACGACCCCATGGACAACGTTCCTCCAGGCCTTCCTGTCCTCTACCATCCTCTGGAGTCCATTTAAACTCATGCCGACTTCTTCAGTGACTCCATCCAGCCACCTCATTCTCTGCCGTCCCCTTCTTCTTTTGCCCTCAATCTTCCCCAGCATTAGGCTCTTCTCCAGTGAGTCCCTCTTTCTCATTAGGTGGCCAAAGTACGTGAGTTTCCTCTTCAGGATCTGGCCTTCTAAAGAGCAGTCAGGGTTGATCTCCTCTAGGAATGACCGGTTGGATCGCCTTGCAGTCCAAGGGACTTGCAGGAGTTTTCTCCAGCACCAGAGTTCAAAGGCCTCCATTCTTTGGCGTTCAACCTTTCTTATGGTCCAACTTTCAGAGCCATACATTGCAATGGGGAAAGCCATAGCCTTGACTATACGTACTTTTGTTGGCAGGGTGATGTCTCTGCTTTTTAGTACGCTGTCTAGATTTGCCATAGCTTTCCTCCCCAGGTGCAAGCGTCTTTTAATTTCTTGGCTGCAATCCCCATCTGCGGTGATCTTGGAGCCCAGAAAAATAAAATCTGTCACTACCTCCATTTCTTCCCCATCTATTTGCCAGGAATTGAGAGGGTTGGATGCCATGATCTTAGTTTTCTTAATGTTGAGTTTCAAGCCAATTTTTGCACTCTCCTTCTTTACCCGCATTAAGCAGCTCTTTAGTTCCTGAGAATACTGAACTCTTATGAGTGCAGTTGGGTATTTTCATCTGAATCAGTAGCAAGGATGCTGTTATTGCTATCATTTTGTCTTTTTTTGACCACATCCTTGATCAACAGGGTTCTTCTACCAAAACACACAGAAGTATAAACTGAGATTTCTCTCTAATTCACATTTTTATGAATAGGTCAAATTTGGTTGCAGAACTTGATCCTTTAAAAAAAAAAATGCACTAACTTTGTATACATTTGGATGCACATTTCGTGTCTAACCTTTGTTTGAAAATCTCCATTGTTACAGTCTCCATGACATCACGAGGGTGTTCATATTGTATCATAGCTCCAATGATGAGGCAATTCCTCTTTTACAGAATAATCAAATATGTTAAGGATTTGTCAGAACCTCCATTGCAAGCTAGGAAAGGTGGAAGGAAAGAGAAGAAGATGACAACCAGCAGTAAGGTGGAACCAATTAAAATAGAATAGAATAGAATAGAATAGAATAGAATAGAATAGAATAGAATAGAATAGAATAGAATAGAATAGAATAGAATAGAATTCTTTATTGGCCAAGTGTGACTGGACACACAAGGAATTTGTCTTGGTGCATATGCTTTCAGAGTACATAAAAGAAAAGATACATTCGTCAAGAATCATAAGGTACAACACTTAATGGTAGTCATAGGGAAACAGCCAATATAAATCGTAAGGATACCAGCAACATAGTTACAGTCATGCAGTCATAAATGGAAGGAGATGGGTGATGGGAACGATGAGAAGATTAATAGTAATGCAGACTTGGTAAATAGTTTGACAGTGTTGAGGGGATTATTTGTTTAGCAGAGTGATGGCGTTTTGGGAAAAAACTGTTCTTGTGTCTAGTTGTTCTGGTGTGCAGTGCTCTATAGCATCGTTTTGAGAGTAGGAGTTGAAACAGTTTATGTCCAGGATGCGAGAGGTCTTAAATATTTTCACAGCCCTCTTTTTGACTCATGCAGTATACAGGTCCTCAATGGAAGGCAGGTTGGTAGCCATTGTTTTTTCTGCAGTTCTAATTATCCTCTGAAGTCTGTGTCTGTCTTGTTGGGTTGCAAAACCAAACCAGACAGTTATAGAGGTGCAAATGACAGACTCAATAATTCCTCTGTAGAACAGTATATTCCTCTGTATTACAGCGGTGATGGAGGCACTATGGAAGACCTGAAGGACCAGGTTGGGAACAGAACCTCCTGGAGAAAGGAAGTTCTGTTCCTTTCTATCTATGTGACTGCTAAGAGTCAGCATCAACTTGATGACACATAATCAAATCACATCAAATCAACTCTCTGGAGAAGGATCTGATACTGGGAAAAGTGGAAGAGGAGAAGAGGACAACTAGCAGCAAGATGGATTGATTCAATTAGTGATGATGGGGTGAAGTTGGATGGCCTGAAGGACCAGGTTAGAGACAAAGTGTCATGACAAAAAAATAAAATAAAAATTAAGCTATGAGGTCGGTAAGAGTCAACAATGACTTGGTGGTACATAATCAATATTTAAAAAAAAAACTTAGAAAAAGAAAATAGAAATGACAGAATATAAATAATACCTGAAAAGGTTTGCAGAGTAATATAAGATTAAACTTTAAAAACAACACACATTTCTTATGTTGGAAGAAACTTCTCATCTAAGGCTTAAAGTTAATCAGCTTAGATTAGATCAAATATAATTTTGTGACAGTTTAACACTTTTAAATTGTTGTATTTATTAATTGGATTTTAGGCTGATTAAGAGATCTATGTAATAGAAATGAACCATCATAATTAAAGAATCTAGAAACCTTAAGATGACTCATGTCTTGGATGTATCAGCATCCATGCAACAAACTGTATTTTAAAACACTTCCCAGGTTAAACTGAAACTAACATTGGACTTGTAGGAAATAGTTTAATTCTATAGTTTAAGCTGCTGTGACAGAATTTCCAGTAAAAAGCATAAAGTATCTTGGTAGCCTTTGCAGATTCATAGGTTTCCAATAGTTTATTTTTACCCTTATTTAATGCTGCATGAAAAATTATTTTAATTTGTTTTGGATTTTGTTCTTGCTCTTCTGTTATAATCTGTTATTCCTGTTATTTTGTATGACAGTATTTATTTTAGGAGATGGTGGAGGGAGGGAATACTGGCATTATCTGTTCCCGCAACTTATTATTACTGTAAAGCTTCCTTATCTGTCCTCACATCCCTATCTTGGGAGAGTGGGCAGAGAGGGAGGAGAAGCAGACAGAGGAAACTGCCTCTTGAAGTCTTTCCTTGGAATTTTTCATGGAAGTGGGAGGTGTCGTGGGGATCTGTAGTTATTAGCATTGATGTCAATGGGACTGATTCTGAAGGCCATATATTGGAAGGCCAGTGGGCTTCCTTGGACAGTTAGTTGGGCATTGTGAAAACAAGTGCTGAACTAGAGGAGAGGAGAGGAGGGGAGGGGAGAGGATTGGGATAGGATGGGATTAGAAGAAAGGAATAGGAATAGAATAGAATAGAATAGAATAGAATAGAATAGAATAGAATAGAATAGAATAGAATAGAATAGAATAGAATAGAATAGAATAGAATTCTTTATTGGCCACACAAGGAATTTTTCTCCAGTGCATAGGCTCTCATTGTACATACAAATGATAAGTGAATGTTTTCTTGCATGTGTTTTTTGTTTTTATATTTATTTGATTCCTGCAGCTGCCAATTCAGCAACCGACTTTGGGCAGGTCACAATTCAATTCATTGCTTAGATTTGGATGGTCACCCAGTTTGCAAGCTTGACTCTAGGGAACTTCAAAAAAAAAAAGAAAAGAAAGAAAAGAAAAGAAAAGGAAAAAAAAAAGAAAAAAACTTCCAAGGAATTAAAAACAATATATAAAATATGAATTGAACTGAATCAGAATATAATGCCTTTGGAACATTTTAAAAAACAACGACGGGACAATGGAATAACAGAAATATCAATAATAAGTGATGCAGCTGAGTCCATTCAATGTGCACCTTGCTGAAAAGCCTTCTATTCATTCTGTGGTCTGGCCCAATACAGGTAGTCCTCGACATACAAACACAATTGTGACCAGAATTTCTGTTGCTGAACAAGGTAGTTGGTAAGTGATGCTTAATTTTATGACCTTTCTTGCCACAACGGTTGAGCAATTCACTGCAGTTGTTAACTGAATCATGTGGTTGTTAAGCAAATCTAGCTTTCCCCATTGATTTTGCTTGTTGGAAGCCAGCTAGGAAGCTTAGGGTTAGGGTTAGGGTTACTGTCATAAGTAGGTACTCAAATTCTGATCACGTGACCATGGGATGCTGCAGTGGTCCTAAGTGTAAGGACTGATTGTCACTTTTTTTTCAAGTCAGTCAGTAAGCAAATGGTTGTAACTTGAGGACTGTCTGTACTTGGGAGAATAGGAAGGTCTTTATGGAAGGATGGAAGAGTTGGGACCATCAAAGGATTGGGGAAAATGACGTTCCATAGGGTGGGCAGGCACTGTGACTTGGGTCTTGCTAGGTGACATCATTTCATGGAAGAGACCTGAAGTGTCCTCACTCTGCTGGTTCTTGCAGGATAAGCAAAGACACTTGAAAATGGATGATCCACGGGACTCCCTGAACTCCACAATGGAAAACATTAATTTGAAAATGAATACATCAATAGAGAGATGAAGAAACTGGAGGGGAGTAGGAAGGAGAGAGAGTGGGATGGAAGAGTAAAGAGGAAGGAAGGGAAGGGAAAGCAGAGTAGGAGAGAAGGTAAGACAGGGGGGAAGAGAGGAGGAGAAGGAGAAGGGAAGGGGTAGTAGAGAAGAGAAGAAGAAGGTGGGGAAACAAAGTTGGAAGGAGAAGAGGGAGAGGCTAGGTTTGAGGAGAAAGATTGCTGTATAATAAAAAAGAAGATGAAGTGGAAGAAAGGCAGCTCTGAACAAACAAATATAAATATATTAGGAAAAAGAATGAATGGTTAAAGAATAAAAGAGGATAAATATGTACAACTAGCAAGGTTAGAATTTAGGGATAAATAAAGAAGGTGTTTATATATGCAAGTATAGAAATACTGAGGTATATTAAAAAAAAAAGGAAGACGATATTGACAAAAATTGTAATTGAGCAAAATGTATTTGAATTTGACTAATTGTATAAGATAAGAAACGACCAACACTCTGTTCAAAAAAAAAAGAAAGAAAGATGTGGGTGAAGATGGGAGAGGAGAAAAGAAAAAAACCAATAAAACTGGTAGTACAGTGGTCAAAGGCACCCTGTTATTAAGCTGGTTATTAAGACCAGCTGCCTGCAATTACTGCAGGTTCGAATCTCGCCAAGGCTCAAGGTTGACTCAGCCTTCCATCCTTTCTAAGGTAGGTAAAATGAGGACCCAGTTTGTGGGGGCAATAAGCTGACTTTGTATAAATATACAAAAGGATGAAGGCTATGGCTTAGCGCATTGTAAGCCACCCTGAGTCTCCGGAGAAGGGCGGCATATAAATCAAATTAAAAAAAAGAAAAGAAAAGAAAAGAAAATGGATGATCCAGGAAACACCCGCAAGCAAAATTGCTCAAGGATGTTTTTCCCCCTAATAGACTTTTCAGTCATTCTGTTTTTAATTCCATGTTAATTGGAGATAGGTGACAGTGGTGGAAAACACCCCTGAATGCTAATGCATAAGGCAGCTGCAATTGTATTTACTTATCACAGTAATTGACTAACGAGAGCCAGAGATAATCTGCTTTCCGCTTTGACTGTTAAATACGTACCTAATAACCACACACACACACATACACACACTTCTCCCCAGGGGAACAAATCGAAACAAGGCATGGAAAAGAAGCTGGTTACATCCAGGAATGTGGCAGAAATCCTTAAAAAGTGGTTGATAAAGATGACATTAAGATGACAAGCAAAGATTGTAAAAATGGATGTGTGGGATCACAAAAGTCAAGAGAGCAGTGATGGCTGAAAGATTGAAGCCCCATTCCATTTTTATATGAGATACATAAATATAGCTTTGGCTTTGACCTCGCAGTTGTGACCGCCATCTTGTGATACTTATCCCCGCAGAAAACGCTGTGTGTGTAATTAGACAACTATTCTCCAAAGCACCTGAAGGCAGGACAAGAAGCGATGGGTGGAAACTAATCAAGGAGAGAAGCAACTTAGAACTAAGGAGAAATTTCCTGACAGTGAGAACAATTAATCAGTGGAACAACTCGCCTCCAGAAGTAGTGAATGCTCCAACACTGGAAGTTTTTAAGAAGATGTTGGATAACCATTTGTTTGAAGTGGTGTAGGGTTTCCTGCCTGGGCAGGGGGTTGGACTAGAAGACCTCTAAGATCCCTTCCAACTCTGTTTTTCTATTCTATTCTATTCTATTCTATTCTATTCTATTCTATTCTATTCTATTCTATTCTATTCTACTCAGATCTTCTCTGTCTATGGAGCTCCCCTCTGACTTTTTCTTTGCAGAATGCCCACAGAAAGAATTCAGTGGAATGCAAACGATGGACACCTTCAGTTGTATCTCTATTCCATTCTATTCCATTCCATTTTAACTTTGTTGAACTTCTGACTATGGTTCTGTACCTCTCTGGTAGCTGAGAAGCATCATCTCCCTGAAGGACCCACTGAACAGGAGTATAAGCAAAGATGTCTTCAGGAGATCGGCACAGCTTCTGGAACTCCTTGTCACAGGAAACTAAGCTCATTTCCCTTCTGTGATCCTGCAAGCAACTCCTCTGGCAGACAAACAACTTTTTTAAAAAACAAAACAAAACCAAGGCCTCTTTTTAAACTTTTTTTTTTTTTTTTTTTACCGAATGAGCTTGAAGCTAATGGTGGTATTGATCACTTAATATCTTCTCATATGAATTTTTAATTGGGAGGTGGTCGGCTTTTCACTAAAACCTTGAGTGTTATTTTAGCTGTCAGGAGCAAAGAGGAGCCCTGTTTCTAGAGGGGAGATGGGGTAGAAATATCACAAATAAATCACTTATTTTAGACAGAGATAATTCCTCCTTTGCCATCCATCTATCGGGAAATGCAATGCCTGCATCTCAAGAGACATTCTTCTTGAAGGCGGCTCTTAACCTACCTACTGAATAACTCACCAATGCAAGTATGTTAAATAAAATGCATACCGCAGAAAAATCAGGAACATGAATTGTGCATTTCCTGGGCTTCAGATCCTCAGGGAAGTTTTATCTGGCTCTGGTCCCTCATTAAACGTATCTTTGGTACTTCCAAAAACAGTTGCTCTGTGGTTAAATATAATTTCATTTCATTTTACAGATTATATTGTGAAATCGGGTGGAAAGAACAGGAGATGGCAGCTCACGCCACTTCTCGTAAAAGGACTTGTGTTACGTAGCTGGGCAGGGAAGCCAAGGAAACTCCCCGGCAAAAGCCTGCATTATGGAAATGGATCACAATTATTAGCGGAGTCACTGAGGTCTCTGCAGGCTCTAATCAATAAAGTCAAGATGGCAGCTGAAAGATGACAGGTGATTGAAGCTTTTTCTCTCTTTTTTTTTGTTGTTCTCTCTCTCTCTCTCTCTCTCTCTCTCTCTCTCTCTCTCTCTCTCTCTCTCTCTGCTGTATGTCTGCTTGAGCCTGCTCCACAACAGACCCACCTCCAGTGGTGGGATTCAAATTTTTTTACTACTGGTTCTGTGGGCATGGTTTGGTGGGTGTAGGCATGGCAGGGGAAAGATCCTGTAAAATCTCCATTCCCCACCCCCCCAGTCCAGGAGAAGGATACTGAAAAATCCCCATTTCCTCCTGATCAGCTGGGACTCAGGAGGCAGAGAATAGATGGGGGCGGGGCCAGTCAGAGGTGGTATTTACCGGTTCTCCGAACTACTCAAAATTTCCACTACCGGTTCTCCAGAACTGGTCAGAAGCTGCTGAATTTCACCCCTGCCCACCTCCCACAAGTTCCACAAGTATTGCACAGCCTTTGCTAGGCACACATATGTGCAATGCACTTTTCTATTTGACTGAGCATTAGACTTTAATCTGTCCATATGTAGGAGGGTTGCAGATTCTGACTTTCTCTTCCTGACATTTAGTAAAGCCAGAGAGCTGTGTTTCTCAACCTTGGAAATGTTAACATAATTCCTATTTGTTGTTGTTGTTGGCAAACGGCAGCAAAAAACTCTATGGAAGAAGAATCTTGAAGGTGAACCCTGTCTCGTGTGCTTTGAAAATGAGAAATTACCTCAGGTTATAGAATCAGGGCAGGAGGGGACTTGGAGGTCTTCTAGTCCAACCCCGTCCATACAAGGAGACTTTCTATGATCCCAGACAAATGGCTGTCCATTTTTTTCTTGAAATCCTCCAGTGATGGAGCACCCACAACTACCAGAGGCAAGCTGTTGTATTACTTAATTGTTCTCACTATTAGGATATTTCTTCTTAGTTCCAGGTTGGACCTCTCTTTAGTAAGCTTCTATCTATTGCTTCTTGTCCTGCCCTCTGGAGCTTTGGAGAATAAGTCAACCATCTCTTCTCTGTGAAAGCCCCTCAAGTATTGGAAGACAGCTATCATATCACCCCTAATTATTCTCTTCCGTAGGCTAAACATACCTAGTTCCATTTTCTGTTCCTCGTATGATTTATCCTGCAGACTGCTTATCATCTTAGTTGCTCTTCTCTGCACTCTTTCTAGGGTCTAGGATTTATTTATTTATTTTTGTATCATGGTGACCAGAGCTGGACACAGTATTCCAAGTGTGGTCTTACCAATACAATATTAAGTAGCATTATCACTTCTCCTGATCTTGATGCTATCCCTCTGTTGATGTAGCCTAGAAATGGTTTTGCTTGAATATGAACATTTTCCATGTCTGGACCTTGCCAATCAAGCCAGCTGATAATAATAGAGACTTATATCTATGAAGTATATAAACAGGAGAAGGTGGATTGATTCATGCACTCTCCCCTCCCAATTCCCCATAGACATTGTTCCAATGTACAGGAAGCTGGAAACTCCCTGAAGCTATAATGTCTCTGCAAGAACTCCAGTTGGCTTTTCAACATTTGCAAGAAGATCTTAATTTGCAATCTTGTCATGAATTTGTTCTAAGTCACTAGAAGATGGATTTCTTTGATGTACATTCTTTCCCCCCTCACTATATTTTGCAGGGAACTTTCAGAAATATGCAGAACCTCTCACAGAGACACAGTTTATTTTGGTATAAATTTTTGACACTTCCATGCTGTCATTGGGACAGAATTTGTGGCCAAAGCACTTTGCAGGTTTTTGCAAATCCACTCTTAGAAATCTGTGAGACTTTCACCACCAATGTATGTGTACTTAATTCCAACCCTAAAGAATATGTTCAGCTCCAACCAACCCCTCCCAGTTGTTTCTCCATCTTCTTTATCCAGTCGTACTCCATTCCTGGTTCAGTATCTCTGTGATTCTGACCAGATTGGAGAGAGATATGGACAGAAACCATCTCCTTACTAGATCTTCACAACCATATGTCTGTTTTTTCCCCATAGAGACCCACAGCCCCTTAAAATATTGATGGATATCTGACAGACCTTTTTATAGTCTCCAACAACAAAATGCTAGGACCTTGTTCTGATTGATTGATTATCTGCTATCAAGTTGTTTTGACTCTTAGGAACCATATCGATCAGAGGTCTTCAAACTTGGCAGCTTTAAGACTTGTGGACTTCAACTCCCAGAATTCTGGAAGTTGAAGTCCACAAGTCTTAAAGCTGCCAAGTTTGAGGACCCCTGATATAGATAGATTTCTCCCCCGATGAATTGTCCCTAACTTGTCTTTCAGGTCTTCCAACAGTGCAACTCTCACCATTGTAATGGAGCCCAACTACCTTGCTTCTGATCATCTTTTTTTTTTCTTCCAGCATTTTTCCCAGCATTGAAGTTTCCTTCAAAGAGGTAGGTCTTCTCATAACATGCCTGAAATAGGATAATTTGATCCTGGTCATTTGCGCCCTGAGTGAAAACTCTGGGTTGCTTTGTTCAATGATCCATTAGTTTTTCTTTTTTCTTTAAAAAAAAAAAGTTTTTTATTGACAATACAAATTAAAAACAGTGGACATAGTGTGATGTTTCCGGTTTAAACATTTTCATCAAATTTTATCTTATAATTGATACACTTCCTTATCTCTATACAAGTTTGCATTAATTATCACATTTCAAATATATAGATTCTTTCATCTGTATTTATGTTTCAGTATCTTTTTCTCAGATCCATTTATTTAGCCTTTTCCCTCACCTTTCAGTTAATAGGAAGGAGAAAAGTGATCTTGACTGCAGTTATGGGAAAGGAACGGAGTGAGTCTAAGAGGTCTCTTCTCTCCTGCCAACATACTGATGAGGAAGCAAACTCTACAAAATGTAGAGATGAATGCACATAAATACATGTGCAAAGCAATAATTTCATTAAATTGGACAGCAGGTTCTCTTTCTTTCTTTCTTTCTTTCTTTCTTTCTTTCTTTCTTTCTTTCTTTCCTTCCTTCCTTCCTTCCTTCCTTCCTTCCTTCCTTTCCTTTCTTTCTTTCCTTTCTTTCTTTCCTTTCTTTCTTTTCTTTCCTTTCTTTCTTTCCCTTCCTTCCTTCCTTCCTTTCTCTCTCTCCTTTGCTTGCTGCTATCATGTGCACACACTGGTACATTCACTCTTTGTGTAGCTTACTGTAGATCCCAGCATTAAGCCTGACTCTGAAGTTGCAAGCTTTAAAGCTTTGCCCTGGTTAACTAATCACAATCTATCAGCCTCCAGCCATACTCTTGGGGATTCAAAGGCCAGACTTGAGGAAAAAAACCTTTCAAGACAATGAAGTTAGCAAAACTACTCAAATTTGGCATTGCCAGTGAGCCCTGTGGCAGCTGCTGAAATATGGAAGCCAACTTTAATTAAGTCAGCATTCTTCTTTTTGCAGAGAAAAAAAGCCCCTGCTTACACCATCACCCCCAACACAGAGGAGAAACAAGCTATATCTGAATCTAGTTTGCCCCCCACTCCTAGGCTGTTTCCACAATTGCTCCCTCACACAGTGCAGCCTTCATTGCATTTGTCTTCATTAACACATATTTGTTTAAACCATCAAGAAAACTCCAATAATGAAGTCAGGGAATCTGTGCTGCTTTGTCTTCTGGTTAAAAATGGCTCTCAAACTTTAAATCCTGCACACATCTCTTTTTCTCCATTACCGCAACATCTTAGCATATAATACATTTCATCTTCCTTTGAACACAGCTGCTAGTTCTTCAAGTTATATCCCGGCTTATGGTCTTCTTAACCTTGGTACTTAGACTGGCTCTTGCCTTTTCCCACTTCTTAGAGCTTCAAAGGGAATTGTCATTATAGGGCTGAAATTGGCAATTTATAGTCCCAGGGCTACACTTGACCCCTGCCCTAATTTCAGATGTCCTTAAGCAAGCAATTAACTCAGAATGGTAGCAAGAAATATTTGCGAGGGAGGGAGGGAGGGAGGGAGGGAGGGAGGGAGGGAGGGAGGGAGGAAGGAAGGAAGGAAGGAAGGAAGGAAGGAAGGAAGGAAGGAAGGAATCACACCTGCATATGTGCAAGATTCTGGGAAACCACATTTCCAGAAGAACATCAAGACTTACAAAATATTCATAGGATATAAATAAAGGTGATTCATGGATGTGAGGATGTGGCCTTTGAGGACGAGATGTAGGAACTCAGTCTGGAGGAAAGAAGAAGACATAACAACTGGGAAGTTATAAGGAAAATAGTTGAGAACAATTCATTGTGGCCACCAGAAGTAACAAGTATAAAGAACAACTTCCTGAACTGCACAACCATTGAACAATCTTGGAGACTGTAGGTTCTCTACCTGTGGAAATTTTCAAGAAGAAACTAGAGAGTGACCTATCGTAGATAGTTCAACTGATTTTTCTGTGCATTGCATAGGGTTGGGCTAGATCAGGGGTGTCAAACACAAGGCCAATGGGCCAGATCCAATCTGCGATGTGGTCAGATCCAGCCCACAGGGCCATCCTGGAAAATGTAAGGATCCGGCCTGCATTGCTTCATTGGGCCCGCATGGCTTCGGCCTGGTCTACCCAGTGAGAAGAGGAAACATGCCAGTAGTTTGGGGAGTGGTGTCAAGCTGGCTATGCCCATCCAGTTGGCCACACCCACCCAGTCAGCTACGCCTGCCAGGCCCCCTGAGGTCAATCACAGCCCTGATGCGGCCCTCAATGAAATTGAGTTTGATACCCCTGGGCTAGATGATCTTTATGGTTTCTTTCCAGGCTTTATGGTTCTTTCCAACTTTACAGCTCTATAATGAGGAAGAAAGAAAATTCACTTAATCTCTGAATTTAACTGATTATTACCAATAGAATATATCCTTCACAATCCGGCTGCACGGGTTGTTGCAGGAGGGACCTGATACTCCCATGTTACACCTCTCCTGCGTGGCTTGCATTGGTTGCCGGTTGCCCTCCGGGTGAGATTCAAGGTGCTGGGGTTAACCCAGGCTATTTGTCGAACCACCTGCAACCAGCGTCAACTTCCCATCGCCTGGTGCGCTCTCACAGAGAGGGCCTACTCAGGGTGCCGTCGACTAGGCAATGTCGGCTGCCGACCCCCAGGGGTAGAGCCTTCTCTGTGAGCGCCCCCACCTTTGGAATCAACTTCCCTTGGGGCTCCGGTTGGCCCCTGACCTTCGCACCTTCCGCCGTGAATTGAAAACCTGGCTATTTATGTCCCCCAGCCTGGACTGATGGGGTAGTATATTTTAAAAATTTTTAAATTTTTCATATTTTTGTGTGTATTTGTTGATTTTAACAGTTGCTTGGTCAATTGTTGTTGTGAGCCGCCCTGAGTCCTTGGAGACAGGGTGGCATACAAATTTTATAAATAAATAAATAAATAAATTTCATCAACAAAAATGTGGCCTATCACATCCCGTAGCCTGTGACACCAGTAGAAAATGTAAACCCTGGGGGTGGAGTGCAATCTTCTAGTATCTATGCAACCAGAGTGTCTGGATTTACTCATGTTTGACCAGATCAGTTACAAATCTACTCACTGTAATTGCACTGTATACTAAACTTGGTTAGATTTAAGGTCAGTTGGGGGTGTTCCTGGTTTAGTGTGTTATGTAAACCTACCCCTTTCAATCAGCTGATGGTTCTATGTGTTGTACTAACCTACAGAAATTAGATTACCCTTGTGTGTTGTGAACACAACCAATTTTTTTCAGTCTTTATAATAGGATGAGAACCAGAAATTATGAGATTTCAGAATAGGGTTTGGAGTTATCATAAAGTGTTGGCTAGAGGACAAATGATAAGAAATCTTGTAAGCAATGACCCTGAAAATTAAGGGAGCTAGAAAGTTAGGTGATCATGCATAGAGCCTGCAATATCATGCAGACCTTTAGATTTTATTACCCTATGCCAGGTGTCAACAGCCTGCGGCTCTTTGGGCCCTCTGCTGTGGCTCCCTGTTGGATGATCCCACCACTGGCTGGTCCTGCCCCTTGCCCTCCCCTCCCACTCACTCCCCGCCTGGCCTGAGAAGGTAAGGGCGACGGTGGGGGATGGAGAAGTGGCCAGGGCTGAGACAGAGAGAACTAGAGAGTGGGGGAGAGAGAGAGAGACATAGAGAGATACAGAGAGAGAGGTGGGAGAGAGAGGGAGAGAGAGAGGGGAGGGAGGGAGAGACAGATGTCAAAAGGTTTTTGTGGTTCCTGGTCTTTTTTAACAGCGGGTTCTCTGCCCTAATGACCGGCTAGGTAGGCATGGCTAAGGGGTGGGTGGGTCAGGTGACTGGTGGAAATGAATGACGTCAAGTTGGCCATGCCCACCCAGGTTTTGTGGCTCCCGGTGTTTTCTTTTCTGTGGGAAATGGATCCAAATGGCTCTTTGAGTGTTTAAGGTTGCAGACCAGTGGTGGGTTGCCCCTGGTTTGGACCAGTTTGCAAGAACCGGTAGTAAAACCGGCAGGAAGCCCCACCCACTGCCCTGGATGTCATCATCGGTGATCTGCGCATGTGCAGAAGCAAAGGCACGTGCGTGAGCGAAGTGAGCGCGCACACGCAATCCCATTCCGAACTGATAGTAAAGGTAAGTAGAACCCTGTTGCAGACCCCTGCCCTATGCCCTTTCTTTCCTTGTGCTCCATGTTGCTTCTCCTAACTCAAGTTCCACAAACTGAATGCTTTCTAACTTCTCTAATTAAAAAAGAAGGACGATTTACTTTGCAAATAAAACGAATGCCTCTTATCATCGCTGTGGTTATAAAAGCCAAACAGTACAAAATATAATCCTGATTCAACTTCACGAATTGGAATGCATCAAAACAAGCTGCTTTACAAATAAAAACATGACCTCCAGCCAATTATTGAGTTAAGAAGACAAACTCTACCAGCCCTGCAGATTTTCCAAGCCACCAATATATCAAAGAGGCAGCAAGAAACACAAATGTGGCCTTTACCAGAGCTGGGATTTATCATAGAGGTATGGCAATGTACAAAGATGTTGCACAAGGCTCAGAAGCTGGAAAGTGACCTAAAGAAACCACCAAAGAATCATAGATAAAGAACCATGAACTCCTAACAACCTCCAATGTTTTCCAGTGCTGTTTTTAGGGAACAATAGAAGCCTTTATCTAAGTCTGTGTATAGATTTTGAGTTTCTTCAGAGAAGGAGAGGAAGAAAGAAAAAACGGGGCTGAGAAGTAGAAGGTCAAATAGAGAAAGGGAGAGTTTCTCTCCTACAGGAATTGGAAATTTTGTCAGTTGATGTTTGAACAATGATACTTCTCGTTACAGCCAGGAGGGAATTACGAGGTTGGGGCATAGCAGGACCACGAGAGGCACGATACGATGGAAAAGCAAAGAAAGGACTCAGCATTTAAAACAGGGACAGGTAACCTTTTGCGGTGTGGGCTGCTTTATTTTATTTTTTTAAAATTCCACCTCCTGGGAGCCCAAGAGTGACAGATAACATCTCTGAAGAGTGGAGGAGACCAAAAAAAAAAAAAAAGTCAGATTTTTACATTCTACCAGGGATTATTAACTGTGTGGTAGTCGGAAGCCAGATGAAAAGTTATTTTATTTTGCACTATTTTTTATGCACATGCATATACAAAACCACCTGAAAAGTGCACCTCTGAAAATAGATGATTTGATCAATGATGCGTTGGGAACTAGGGGGAATTGAATATGGGCAACTGGACTTTGGTTGCCCAAGTTGAGAGAGAGAAATCTCAATCTCAGTCTCAGTCTCTGTCTCTATCTATCTCTCTATCTCTCTATCTCTGAATATAATATATAATAAGCGCACTAAAGAACATTACTGCATGGTAATCTAAGTAGCTGATTTTGTAAGACCATTATGTAATCATCAAAGTGCAAGATCTAGCTAATGGATCTAGCTAAGCTCTATCTATCTAGTAACCAACACACTAGTCACCTCTGACGTCAACTACTGCAATGCACTCTACATGGGGCTCTCCTTGAAGAGTATTCAGAAGCTTCAGTTGGATCAGAATGTTGGGCCCTGAACAGTTTTGTGCAAGGGTAGACTTATGCATGTGTCAGTCAAAACTGAAGAAGCTTCTTGGATGAGAAGTGAAATGTCTTCAAGGAAAAAAACAAAGAAAGTTCAGTTGCCTGTTGAAAAAGCACCTTGAGACAACCATGACCTGGAAGACTGACAATCTCCATAGACCTTTGAGGAAAATCTTTAGAGAGAGTTTTTTTTTTTTTACTTTGCTCACTTCTTTCTTGCTGTGTATGATTTGATCTCCCCTCAATCCTGTTCCTCCCTCAGTCTCCTCTTCTAGAAGGTGCTCTCAAACCTTCTTACCTCTTCTGGTAAGGAAGATGTTTCAGCCCCTGATTCTTTTCAGTTACCTCTTCTGCCTGTTTTCAGCTCTACCCTTTTCCAACTATGCAACCAGAATGATACGCAATGCTCCAGATGCAGACTTACCATATATTTGCATAAGGGTTCTTATATTGTGGGCAGATTTATTTTCAGTCCTTTCCCTTAATGATTCCTAGGCTGGGTTTTGCCATTTTCACAGCTGCCAGAAACTGAGCTGACATTTCCATTGAGCTATCAGCTATGACCCCCAGAATTTTTTTTTTCCCCTGGCTAGTTACAAGCAACACAGATCCAATCCCTGGCATATGCGAAAGGTGGAGGGTTGATTGCCTCAATGTGCATTGCTTTACACTTAAACAAATTGAATTGCATTTGAATTGCATTTGTCATTTGATGGAAAGAGCTTCTTCTTTGGATCTTAGCATAAGAAAGATTTCTTATGAACCCCCAGCAGTGGCAGCTGGTAACTGGAGGCATCTAAGCACTTGCATTCTTATGGTTTAATATTGGACCCCAGAATTCTAAAGTGGCCTATCAACTAACTTTCAGCTGAATTATTAAAAGGTTTCTTCTTTATTAGGAAGAATTATTAAACTGATTCTTCTCCCAAGCACAACTTCAAAGGCAGAAGCTGACAATTAGCATTTAGAAAGTTCTAAGGCATTTTTTTTTCAAAAGGCATGGTTTTTTGAATATATATTTGCCTAATTTTTGAGCATACACACACACATACACAAATGCTCAAAATTTAGGCAAAAAAGTACCCCTAACATTTAAAGATAGTTGAAGCATCCATGACAGGGTATTGATCTGTTCACTTGGTGACTCTCAGATGCAAACGGGAGAAAGAACTGAACTATTTTTAAGAATACTCTTATTTCCAGATTTGGCTTTTATTCACAGCATTCCTTCTTTTGCGGCCCTTTTGAAATGCAGAATTAAGATAAGGTTCCAGGTGCATCAGGAGATTCGTTTGCAGAAACCCCACCCCACCCCCCCACCCCCCCGTTGGAATTAGGCACACATTCAGAGTTGAAAAGGGGGAAATGATTAGGGATGCTGAAAATCTTGTTGGATCCATATTTTTCAACAAAGCAATCTTGATTTGCACTTCCTGCATTGACACACGGAGCAGCTTTTACTGCAGAACTCCTGTGAACCATTCCTGGAAGACTCTGCATCCTTGGGGAAGAACTATAAATATTCTCTTTAGGAGCTTCCCGTGACAGTGGCCTCTCTCTCGCCATCATCCTCCATTCACCCTTACAAAAGTCACCGCGTACAAAATGAGATGGGTGCCATATAACTCTTCCGAGCTAAGAACGGTGCTGGTTTTATCGATGTTATCTAAGGATTTTGTTAGTTTTAGCTCCCTCTAAATCAACGTCCTGCTCTGGCTTCATTTGTGGTTGGAAGGCAGATGGTCTATTTTTATCTGCCTTCTGCATAGGAGGGATTTCTGCCTTGCCTTTTGCAATCATGCATGCTTGACTTGACTCTCTTTGCCTTATTCACCTTGATTTCACTCCAACAGCTATTGGTGGCTTCCTTCTCCATTCCTCAAGTTGAAAAAGAGACTGTACAGATGGGAGAATTTCCGAGTCATTTCAAGCAAAGCCCTCGGTTCCTCCAAAAATTAGATTTAGATTATTATGCAATCTCTTCATTGTAATTTGGGGGTTTCTATATTTAAAATTTGTTCACCATGATAACTACATGCTTCAGTATAAAAGTCTACTATAAATGCAAACACCAATTTTTGCTAATCTTCCTAGTATAAAAAAGATGGCTAGGAATAGCAGAACTTGTTAATCTACTCTATAATGTTTGGGTACATCTACCGCAACCACTGTAAATGGAGACTTCAACTTTTCAGCTCTTGCTCATTCAAACAAAATGCATTTCTGAGGGAGATGATGCTCGGAGATACAACTGAAGGTGTCCATCGTTTGCATTCCACTGAATTCTTTCTGTGGGCATTCTGCAAAGAAAAAGTCAGAGGGGAGCTCCATAGACAGAGAAGATCTGAATAGAATAGAATAGAATAGAACAGAATAGAATAGAATAGAATAGAATAGAATAGAATAGAATAGAATAGAATAGAATAGAAGAGTTGGAAGGGACCTTGGAGGTCTTCTAGTCCATCCCTCTGCCCAGGCAGGAAACCCTACCCACTTCAGACAAATCATTATCCAACCTCTTCTTAAAAACTTCCAGTGTTGGAGCATTCACAACTTCTGCAGGCAAGTTGTTCCACTGATTAATTGTTCTAACTGTCAGGAAATTTCTCCTTAGTTCTAAGTTGCTCCTCTCCTTGATTAGTTTCCACCCATTGCTTCTTGTTCTACCCTCAGGTGCTCTGGAGAATAGCTTGACTCCCTCTTTTTTGTGGCAACCCCTGAGATATTGGAAGACTGCTATCATGTCTCCCCTAGTCCTTCTTTTCATTAAACTAGACATACCCAATTCCAGCAAGAGTTCTTCATATGTTTTAGCCTCCAGTCCCCTAATCATCTTGGTTGCTCTTCTCTGCACCCTTTCTAGAATCTCCACATCTTTTTTACATCGTGGCGACCAAAACTGAATGCACTATTCCAAGTGTGGCCTTACCAAGGCATTATAAAGCGGTATTAACACTTCACGTGATCTTGATTCTATCCCTCTGTTTATGCAGCCCAGAACTGTGTTGGCTTTTTTGGCAGCTGCTGCACACGGCTGGCTCATATTTAAATGGTTGTCCACTAGGGATCTCCAAGATCCCCCTCATAGTTACTACTATTGAGCAAGGTACCACCTATACAGTACCTGTGCGTTTTGTTTTTCTTGCCTAAATGTAGAACTTTACTTTTTTCACTGTTGAATTTCATTTTGCTAGATAGCGCCCAATGTTCAAGTCTGTCAAGATCCTTCTGTATCTTGAATTCTCCTGTTTTTTTTTTAAAAAGGCTTCTTGATAGAAACTGATATCCTCTCCCCTTCACAATTATCCAGCTTCTTGAGAAAGGCTGAAAAAAACCAAGAAAAGTTGAAGATAGTGTCAGTCTCAGTCATTTGGCTGAATCAAAGGAGACTACCAACAAAAATTTCAGGAACTGAACATCTTAGAGTAAATATAGACTCCTAGAAAGGAGTTTCCCACCTTCATGTATAGCGAGGTCATTAAGATGGTGTCCCTTTGACTATATACGGAATAGAGCAATGAGCCCTATCAAATAAAATGCAGTTCAGTGGTGAGAAAAGTAAATCCCTGTACTTATATAGGAAAAACCAGATGCGTCGGTACAAAACAGATAGTACCTGACTCAGCAGTAATAACTGTGAGAGGGATCTAGGTAATCTAGTGCAGGGGTCTCCAACCTTGGCAACTTTAAGACTTGTGGACTTCAACTCCCAGAGTTCCTCAGCCAGCAAAGCTTGCTGAGGAAATTTTTTACTACCGGTTCTGTGGGCGTGGCTTGGGAGGGGGTTAATATAACTGAGTAGGCGTGGCCAACTTTTTTTTTTCTTTTAATATTTTTTTCTACAACCTCTTAGGCTGAAAAGGTTGTTAAAAAAATGCTTTTAAAGCCTCTGATGATCCCAGCTGACTTGCCTGATCGGCAGAGGCTTTTTTTCCTTTTAAAAACATTTTTTCTATAACCTCTTCGGCTGAAGAGGTTGAAGAAAAAATGCTTTTAAAAGCCTCTGATGATCCCAGCTGAGACGCGCGATCATCAGAGGCTTTTTTATTTTACTTTTAAAAGCATTTTTTCATCGGAAGAGGTTGTAAAAAAAATGCTTTTAAAAATAAAAAAAAAGCCTCTGATGATTGCATGGCTCAGCTGGGCAATGGGGGTGGGGGTGGGGTGGGCAGGGATTTTTGATACCCTTTCCCCAAACCACTCGCTGCCATCACTACCGGATCCAGCGATCCGGTTCGAACCGGGAGCATTTCACCCCTGCCAAAAAAGCCAATGCAGTCCAAGGCTGCTTCAACAGAGGGATAACATCAAGATCATAACAACTATCTCTATCAGGCATTAGAGAGGCCATATTTGGAATACAGATAGCCCTCAACTTCCAGCAGTTCATTTAGTGATGGTTCAAAGTTACAACGGCACTAAAAAGTGACTTATAACCATTTTTCACAATTATGACCATTGCAGCATCCCCATGGTCACGTGATTTACATTCAGATGCTTGACCACTGGTTCATAGTTATGATGGTTGCAGTGTCCCGGAGTCATGTGATCTTCTGACAAGCAAAGTCAATGGGGAAGCCAGATTCACTTAACAACCATGTTATCATTTGACAACGGCGGCAATTCGCTTAACAAATGTGGCGAGTAAAGTCGTAAACTAGGGCAAAACTCACAACAAATTTCTCACTGAGCGATATAAACTCTAGGCTCTATTGTGATCGTAAGACGAGGACTACCTGTAACTGCATCCAGTTCTGGTTGCCATGATACAGAAAAGATGCTGAGGCTTTAGAAAGAGTACAGAGAAGAACAACAAAGATGATAAGGAATCTGAAAGCTAAACTATAGGATGAATGGTTAAGGAAATTAGGCATGTTTAGCCTTATGATTCTTGATGAATGTATTTTTTCTTTTATGTACACTGAGAGCGTATGCACCAAGACAAATTCCTTGTGTGCCCAATCACACTTGGCCAATAAAGAATTCTATTCTATTCTACTCTACTCTACTCTACTCTACTCTACTCTACTCTACTCTACTCTACTCTACTCTACTCTACTCTACTCTACTCTATTCTAATTTCATATTTTCTATTCTATTCTGTTCTGTTATTCTATTCTATTCTATTCTATTCTATTCTGTTCTGTTCTGTTCTGTTCTGTTATTCTATTCTATTCTATTCTATTCTATTCTATTCTATTCTATTCTAACAAAGAGAAAGATTAGGGATATATAGCTGTTTTCCAGTATTTTATGGGCAGTCACAGAGAAAAGGGGTTGACTTATTCTCCAGAGCACCTGACAAGAAGCAATGAGAGAGATCCTACTTGGAACGAAAGAAAAATTTCTGTCAGGGTTAACACTTAATGGAACAGCTTGCCTCCTAAAGCTGTGGGTGCTCCATCACTGGACGTTTTCAAGAAAAGATTGGGCATCCATTTGTCTGGGATGGTATAAGGACTAGAAGGGGGTAGGACTATAAGACCCCCAAGATCCCTTCCAGCTCCATATTTCTATGTTTTGAAACACTTTCTTCCCATATACCTGTACATCAGAGTTATCTCTTCTGTCTCTTCTTTATGTCCATTCTTCCTTTCATTCCTTTTCCTGCCTTTCTCAGCCTTCCATCCTTCCCAGGTCGGTAAAATGAGGACCCAGATTGCTGGGGGAAATATGCTGACTCCGTAAGCTGCTTAGAGAACCTGTAAAGCACTGTGAAGCAGTATATAAGTCTAAGCTCTGTTGCTGTTGCTATTCTATAATCCTTTCACAGAAGGCTCAGAAATTGTTATTAGAGAAATGGAAGCCTCATTAAAATGTCTAAAAGGAGGTCCAGGGAGGCTCTCTTGAGCGAGTGGCTCCCCTTACAGCTCAAAGTGTGCTCCATGGTGTCCCATCTCAAAGAAATTCCCCTTTCTTTAGGCATGGAATCCACTTACCATGTAACTTATCCATCCTCCAGCTGTAGGCTCTTTGGTATAGTCTATTTTTACTTCTTTTCTTATAACCTAACTTTATAAATTGGGAAACGGAAAGAAACCCACCACGTCAGAAGCAATCAGCTTCTGTAAGCTGTAAATGGTATTTTACTGACCCAGAACTAATCACGAGAGCAAAAAGGAATTTCCATTAAGTGCTAAGTGCTCGGTTATTAAGCATATTTATGAAGTTTGAATCTGTTTGGATTTGGGGGGTGGGAAGGGGAAATGGGGCAAAATAAAATTGTGGGAGAGTGAGAGAAAAAGCTTTATATTTTTCTTAAAAATGTTGTTTTTGGGTTTTTTTTGTTCCCCCGCAGGGATAATTCAGAAGAAGTTCAGAATGTAGAACACATGTTGATTCAATGTTCTGCTTCTTTGCAGTGGAGACTTTCTTAGCATCCTGTCAAATGTCATCTGCTGAAGTGGGAGCAGGGAACCAGGAGCTGTGCAGGCTCTGGATTTAAGGAGAAAACTGAGGCTGAAAGGTAATTAGGAGATGGAACCAAAGATCAAGGCAGATCAGAAAGTCAATGGTTTGACTTCCACCATTAGTCAAAGGAAAGGCTGCTTCAGGCAACAGCTATGGAGATGCACAGAGCAGAGACTCCTTGACCCCACTGTTATCCTTAGGCCAGTGGAGAATGTTGCCCATTTGTACAACGATTAACCACACACACACACAAATATTTTAATCCGTAAGCACCAAAAAGTTATTTGGCTCATTTCTTTCTGAAAAAGAAAAGTCTTCAACAGCACATACCAAGGTGATGATTAGATACAGAGGGCATAAGGAATGGCCCTGAAGGACTGTTTATGATGGCAAAAATGTGAACATGGTAGTAGACCAGACCAAGAAATTAATGCTGTACAGGTCAGTGCCTATATATGTTACAGGAAAACAGAGCAACTCCGTGTAAAATAAATTGCAGTGCCCAAACATGTGCAGCAGCTTGACAGTTCACACTCACTTAAATCATTGCATATTCATGATCAAAGCTATAAAACAAAATCTGGACACATTGATTTGGGAATTAGTGTTTTGCTGCGGAAAGGAATAATGAATTTTTAAAACTAAAAAGCTTCACATGAATAGCTAAGTCAATGTCCAGCCAAATTCTTTTTATACAGCCCCCTCACAAAAAAATAAAATAAAAAAAACCACCATTGTATATGAATAGTAAAAGCACTTAGACTTATATACTGCCCCATCGTGCTTTGCAGCCCTCTCTAAGTGGTTTACAGAGTCAGCATATTGCCCCAAACAATCTGGATCCTCATTTTACCGACCTCGGAAGGATGGAAAGATCAGTCAACCTTTAGCTGGCCAGGATCGAACTGATGGCAGTGGGCAGAATTAGCCTGCAATACTGCATTCTAACTACTGCACCAACGCAGCTCACCAAGAATTGGGCTTAGTGAGCAATTTAGGTGCTACTATTCTAGCACCCTGAGCCACGAAAGGCTATTTAGCTGCCCCAGTGAAGGAGACACAAATAATGATCCACAGAAGTCCAAGAAAAGTGATTCCAAAGAAAAAGCAGGAACGTTTGCAAGAGAAGGCTAAGTCGATTGGTTTCAGAAGTAAATACTATTCTGTTCTCTGTTTAGAGTAGTGTTTCAAACTTGAAAACTTCAAGATGAGTGGACTTCAACTCCTAGAATTTCCCGACCAACTCAAGTCCCAATTCTGGGAATTGTGGTCCACTCATCTTAAAGTTGCCAAGTTTGGGGAAAAATGTTTTAGAGGAATTAAACATTAGTTTAAAAGGAATATTGGTTTAGATCAATCTCATTGATCAGAGAAATTTTTGTTTTTATATATGAGCACCGCAGTGAGATTTTTATATGCTCAAAGTTGGAAGGACTTACAAGTACCTACAAGATTTCAGAAAAGAATTAAAAAAGGGGAAAGGGGAAAAAAGAAAAAGAAAAAAAGAAAGAAAGAAAAAGAAAAGAAAAAAGAAAAGAATGACTTCTAACTATCTTTGATGCATTTTTCACTTATTTATTTATTTATTTATTGGTTCGATTTATATGCCGCCCTTCTCCTGAGACTCAGGGCGGCTTACAATGCATTAAGCAATAGCCGTCATACTTTTGTATATACCTGCTTAGTAGGGCTTTTGCCCCCCCCCCACAAGCGGTGTTCTTTTTTTTTTTATACAAAGTCAGCTTATTGCCCCCACAATCCAGGTCCTCATTTTACCTACCTTGGAAGGATGGAAGTAATTGCAGGCATCTGTCTGTCTCTCCCTATCTATCATCTATCTATCTATCTATCTATCTATCTATCTATCTATCTATCTATCTATTTATATCTAATCATCTATTTAGCTAGCTAACTACTTACCTATCTACTTACCTTATCTCTCTGTCTATGCCTGCCTGTCTGTCTGTCTGTCTCTATCTTCATCTACTTAGCTAGCTATTACATATCTACCTACCTTATCTCTCTATCTAACTATGTCTGTCAAGACTCAAAACAGAACTCTATAGAATAATAGAATAGCAGTCCCCAGTTTTGCAGAAGGGGCAGTGGCGATGCGGGTGGGTGGGAGAGGGGATGGTTCTGTACAAGCAGCCTGCCGTTTGCACAAATGGAACTTCGCACACGAGCGCATGTGTGTGCTGCTTGTGCAAGTGGAGCTGCACATGCTCACATGCCCAACACTTGTGTGGCCCAGTTCCAAACAGCCTGTGGCCCCATTACTGGGCCTGAGGGTTGGGCACCCCTGCCATAGAAGGATTAAACTCACAGTGTTGCTATTTGATAAATAGGAGAAAGGCACAGCTAAATAACAAACAAACAAATACACGGAGCAGCTAAACATAATTATGGGAGATTTAACATTTGTGGAAAAGAAAGGGGGAGGGAGCCAATCTAGATTTCTCAGTTGTATAAACTGAGCCAGCTGCATAAGGAACTTGGAACTTCTTGTGCATAGTGTGTGACTGTGTGTGAACATTGTGTGTGTGTGAACAATGTATAACCACATTAGAGTTTACTTGAAAATTCCTGCAAACAGGGAACATTTTGCTTAGGGTTGATGCCCAAGTCGAATTCTCAGTAGATGGTTAATACATTACTAAATGGATTATATTCTAGTTGCTTAAGTTCTCAATGTGAAAGGATGACCTGAAAAGTACATAGGGTCTCCCCCGCTCCCATCTAAATAATTCCCCTTTTGTTCACTCACCAGAGAAGAGGGTGATCCATTATGCATTGGTTTAAAACAAAAAACAAAAAAAACAAAACAAAAACACCCATCTTTGCTAGAGTAAGTGACCCATTTGTTCCACACTCTTCACCTTCTAGGAGGGTCACGGAACTGCAACTCAACCTTCTGTAGCAAGTAATTTGCTAAGGCAAGAGCCATCTGGAAGAAAAAAGAGGGGAAACAAATATAGTGACTTTTTGCTCATCAGCAGAGGATCATCCCTCTGGTGCTCGTCCTTTCAGTTAACTCTACACTGTTAGGAAATGGTCATTGCCTAACTAGTTGGCCAGGTAATATATAATCCAACATTGTATGTTTGCATTGTGTAAATGTATTATGTTGCTTTAAGAACATTGCTGAGTCATTCTGCATCCTGATTGGATGAGCTCTGTAGCCAATGTATTTAAGGAGAGCTTAATTGTGGTTAGTGGGAACACTACACCATATTTTTACCTGCTACCATGCTGTAACTATTTTTGATCTCTCTAAATGGTCATTGTTTGATCATGGTATTACTGTTTCCTGATATTTATTGAACTGTTTTTATATTGTTCCTGAATGTTCCTTGTATTTTTCTACAAACTGGTAAGAAGATTTTATATCCCTGGATTGATCTTATATTGCACTTTATATGGCTAAGACTTGGATTGTTAAATGACTATGATTTCGCTTTACCCTCTAAGTAAAGTAATATAAAATCAGTTTGTCTGCATGTTATTCACAATTACTCTCAAAACCGTTCCCGTGCGTAAAAAAACTTCTGATGGTACTCTGCTTTATGAACCATGACTCTGGTGGTGACACCACAATATCCTTAACATTGGTTATGGGCCCAGAGCCACCCAGATCCATCAAATCCATCAGTTTTAACCAAAATCCATCAGTTACAGACCTAATGCAGAGCTTCCCAAAGGGCTTTTTCCTTCCTTACCCAAAACCACTCATCAGAGAAATTGTATTAAACGTCAAGGACTGGCTGCCGAGTTCCTTCCTTCATTACCGTCATAACAGTCACTGAACGAATGGTCACAACTCGAGGACTACTGTATGATAAAAAAAAACAGCCACTGAATGATCTTCGTGCCACTGTGGTGGCGCAGTGGTTAGAATGCAGTACTGCAGGCTACTTCTGCTGACTGCCGGCTGCCTGCAATTTGACAGTTCGAAACTCACCAGGCTCAAGGTTGACTCAGCCTTCCATCCTTTGCAAGGTTGGTAAAATGAGGACCCGGGTTGTTGGGGGCAAGAGGCTGACTCTGTAAACTGCTTAGAGAGGGCTGGAAAGCACTGTGAAGTGGTACATAAGTCTAAGTGCTATCGCTATTGCTATTTTAACAAATTACCACTGGTAATTTCATCATTGTTCATCAAAAGGAATATCTTGGGGGATTTTTGAACATATTTTAGTACCTGTGGCAAACGTTTAGTCAATCTGAATGTCCCTGTCATGCTGGATAAAGGGTTCATGTGCTGTTACCCAAAGAAAAGCCACTTTTACCCAGGTTGGGTGTAATTTATCTAATAGATGCATTGATACAATATGTTAAACTTAGTTTAACATTTTGGTCATTCACCATGTTATATGAATTGGATGTAACCCACTTGGTGCATTATCACTTCCAGAATCTGTGCAAACTTAGAAAACAAGTTGTTTGGTAGCTGTTAAGCATATTCTGCAAACACAGCCAAAACAGAACTGAGAACCCTAGCAGGACTGATGCAAATGCAGCCAGCACTGTCTGAAGACATTTCCATGGTCATGTGGCCAGTATGACATCACAGAGCGCTATTATCTTCCCACTGAAGTGGTACCTATTTATCTACTTGCATTTGCATGCTAGGTTGGCAGGAGCTGGGGTGAGGATGGGAACTATTGCATGATGCTCGGGTCTCGAACCTGAGTTGCCAGCTTTCCAGCCATCAAGCTGAGCATCTTGACTGCTGAGCCACATGCTGTCCCTGTCATTTGAATGCAGGAATTATATTATGGGATAAATTGGAGTTAAGGCAAAGCATTTCACTGCAATGTGTTTGTCTTTGCTTTAGTTACCTAATTTTGGCTCCTTATCCTCACTGAATTAGATCTATTGTTTACACTCAGCGACAGTTAGAAAATTAGAACATCTATAAAATGTGTCCACTAAGGACAACTTTTGAACTGTTCTCTTCACAACATCTCTTGTGGGTGTGGGTATAATATAGGCCCACAGATACCCAACCATTTTCCCCCTTCTTGGAACATCAGTCAGATAACTGGTTAAGAAACGTCTTCTAAGCTACTTCACAGCTTTGACTACCTATGGCAAAACTACACATTACTTCCCACCTCCTGGAACTTGCTTGGCCCCACTTCTAAACTTCTACTCTTCATCCTTCCAGGTTCCTCCTGGCTCTATTTTTGTCTATCCAGGGTATCATTACTTGTATACTATATAGATTTCACGACCTTTATGGGAAATTCTAACGTTCCAGTCTGGAAGGAAAGCTAATATCTACTTGCACTTTAGTGCTCTTCAGAAACAGAGGGATCACAATCCCAGCACGTTGGCTGGAGATTCTCGAGGGTTGTAGATCCAGCATTTCTGGAGGCACCCCACTGGGGCAGACTACATACAAAAAAAAGAGCAGAGACTTGGCTGACTGCCCTCCCACTGTTTTCACCTTAGGCAGATAAGACTGGTGAAGGGAGCAACAGCAACAGCAGGAGACATAATTTAGAGGGATTGGCTTCTCCAGGAACAGCGGCGTCTGGCCCAATGAGTGATGAGAGACGCTGTAATGGGGAGGTAATGAACCTGTATAAGATAAAGAGGGGTTTTCAGTCACAAAGCAAAGACAGCAGAGGGCAGGATGTTCTCTGAGATATATCCTCCCCGCCCCAACACTGCAGCACTTCTTACCTGTGTAACAGAGATGTGTAGGCATCCTAGGGCTCAGCTTCAGACTTTCAGAAGACAGTTTAAAAATGCAGGAGGAACATCTAGCCCACCTTGGCATATGGCAGTTCGGGCCAAACTGAACTGAGCTGAGAAAGGCTAAGAGAACGGGTTAGAGCAGTGTTGGCGAGCAGTGGTCAATTGTGATCATAACTTATGATCACAATTGGGAACAGAACTTCCGTTGCTAAGTGATGTGGCCATTAAGTGAACCATGCCTGCTTTTATTGTCTTTTTTGCCATGATTGTTGAGTGAATTACCCAGCTGTTAATCAAATCCAGCTTCTGTTGACATTGCTTGTCAGACCTCAAGAGTTGAAGAAACTTCTTGGATGAGAAGTGAAATGTCTTCAAAGAAAAAACAGAAAGTCCAGTTGGCCCTTGAAAAAACACCTTTGGGACTACCATGACCTGGATGATTGAGAATCTCCATAGACGTTGCTTGTCAGAAGCTCTCTGGGAAGATCACAAATAGCAACCATGTGGCCCTGGAATGCTGCAACCTGTTCTGTCCCCGTCCCCACACACACACAAGCAGCCAGCCGGGGGTTAAAGAAGTACTCGGCACACACAAGGTTCGTTATCAGGAACTTGGCAGCAATACAATAACCGTCTGCCAAGTGCTTTACTACAAGAAGAGGGAGTGTTCCTCCACCAGATAACACCAACTAATACACACAGTTTTCAAAACAGTCCAGCTCAAACGTGAAACCTTCAGCAGATCAGGCGTTGTACAAAGTGACTAGCCAGAAGTTAGCTTTGTCCGTCACAGAGTCTAAATGGCCACCACACTCTCTTATATAGCCTGTGGGGTGTGGTCCAATGACTCAGCTTAATCCCTGGCACACCTCATCTGCTGCAAACGTTTATCTCACCTTCGTTGGCGTGGATCCAGGAACGACTTATCCCCCTCATCGCTGTCATTGGAGACACCTGGCTCCTGATCAATCTCCTCTCCCTCGGCAGACACCTGAGGCATTGCCAGAGAGGAGGGGCCTGGAGAGGGAGGCCTGGCCAGCTCCTCTCCTTCATGTTCGGAGCCTTCTTCCTCCGATAAGATGGGCTTGGGGATCGGAGCCACAACACAACCATTGTAAATGTGGACTGGTTGCAAGTGCCCAGATTATGCAAAAGAGACAAGCCGACAAACCGAGGTGGTGCATTGGTTAGAGAGCAGTACTGTAGCTACTTCAGCTGACTGCTAGTTCAGCAGATCAGTGGATCAAATCTCACCGGCTCAAGGTTGACTCAGCCTTCCATCCTTCTGAGGTGGGTAAGATGAGGACCCAGATTATTAGGGGGCAATATCCTATTTAGTATACTGTCTTTGGTGTAAGCCGCCCAGAGTCCTCGGAGAGTGGGCGGCATAGAAATATGAATAATAAAAAATAAATAATAAAATAATAAATAAATAAACTAGCCAAAAGAGAGCAAACAGACTCCAGCATCTTTCCACCAGTAATCAGCATCCAGATCAGCATAGATTAACCCCAAAGTTAACTTCAGACCAACAGTCAAGTAAACAATACCCCACTCAGGAAACTGCCAAGGAGCCATCAGTAAACAGCCCAACCAAAGAATCTCTAAGACTGCCCCCACCCACACAAACAGGCAAGTCACTAGATCAGGGCTCAGCAATCTGTGGCTCCGGAGCTGCATGCAGCTCTTTGGGCCCTCTGCTGTGGGTCCCTGTCAGGTGATCCCACTGGCTGGCCCTGCTCCTTGCCCTCCCCTCCCTGTCACTCCTTGCCTGGCCTGAGAAGGTAAGAGCGACGGTGGGGGATGGAGAAGCAGCCAGGGCAGAGACAGAGAGATACAGGGGGAGAGAGGGGAGACAGAGAGACATAGAGAGATACAGAGAGAGGGGGGAGAGAGGGAGGGAGGGGAGAGAGAGATATGTCAAAAGGATTTTGTGGTTCCCAGTGTCTTTTAACAACTGGTTCTCTGCCCTAATGGGTAGAGAATGCTGGTGGAAGTAAATGACATCGAGTTTGCCATGTCCACCCAGGTTTTGTGGCTCCCGGTGTTTTTTTTTCTCTGGGAAATGGGTCCAAATGGCTCTTTCAGTATTTAAGGTGGTGCAGCAGACCAAACTACTGTTAAAAGTAGCATTTAGCTGCCAGCTGCCTGCAATTACTGCAAGTTCAATTCTCACCAGGCTCAAGGTTGACTCAGCCATCCATCCTTTCAAGGTAAGTAAAATGAGGACCCGGATTGTGGGGGCAATAAGCTGACTTTGTATAAAATAGAACACCACTTAGGGGGGGCCAAAAAAGCCCTACTAAGCACATATATACAAAAGTATGAAGGCTATTGCTTAATGCATTGTAAGCCGCCCTAAGTCTCCAGAGAAGGGTGGCATATAAATCAAACTAATAAATGAATAATAAATAAAGGTTGCAGACCTCTGCACTAGATTATAAATGGACAGCAAACAGCACTCCTTACTACAGGTAACACTGCTGATGTTACATCTGCAAGAAAACAAGCAAGTTGAGAGAGCAACAAATAACCCTAATTTCAACCCCGAGCTACAAATATTATCCTTTATAAGTGCCCAGATCGCAATCAAGTGAGCACACAAATGCTGCGATGGTCATAAGTGCAAGGCTCAGTCATAAGTGCAAGTCACTTTTGTTCAGCACCATTGTAGTTTGAAACTGTCACTAAACAAATGATTGTTGAGGGGTACCTTCACTTATATAATTGCCAGGAGCCAGGCTGAATTTAGCACAGATTGTACTTTTTTTTAATCTATACACACAACTGAGTTGAAAGGATGTATTTACAGTAAGACCTTCCCACCCCAAAAGGGGGAGTAAACAGACGAAAAATATAAACACAGACAATGCGTAGCTCCCCTAACTTATAAGTGCCAAGTTCAGCTAAAATCACGTTACAATGAAAATGTGTCCCTCCATCTTCCTTGCCTTTCATTTTAAGGCAAGGAAGAAACAGAATTTTATGAGGTGTGGTATAAGAGCCTTGGTGGCACAGCAGATTAAAGTGCTGTTAAGTAACACCAGCTGCCTGCAATTACTGCAAGTTCGAATCTCACCAGGCTCAAGGTTGACTCAGCCTTCCATCCTTCCGAGGTAGGTAAAATGAGGACCCGGACTGTGGGGGCAATAAGCTGACTTTGTATAAAAAAAGAACACCGCTTTGGGGGGGGGGGCGAAAGCCCCACTAAGCGGGTATATACAAAAAGTATGAAGGCTATTGCTTAACCATTGTAAGCCGCCCTGAGTCTCTGGAGAAGAGTGGCATATAAATTGAACCAATAATAAATAAATAAATAAGTGGTTAGAATAGAGAAACAAAAATGTATAGAAATAAATGTAAATAACTGTGAGAGACACATGACACAGTACTGTTAAAAAATGTTTATTGTTATGTAAATTGGAAAAATGGAAAATAAAAATAAGAAAGAAAGAAAGAAAAGGAAAGGAAATGTGTGCCTGTAACATAATTGTTTCTCTCTTTCTCTCCATAGGTGTTTGGGTCAGGAAGAGTTGTGCTCCTCCTCCTCTGGTTTGTGTGTCTTCATGTGTATGAGTGGGATCATTGTTTTAGCCTCAGGCACTAGCAGTTGTATATTGTAGGCTTTGTTACTTTTCATCATTGTATGGAAGCCAGAATCACCTGTGTGAGATGGGCTACCATGTAAATATTGTGTGTGTGAGAGAGAGAGGAGTGGGGGGATGCAAACATAATGAAAGGGCAAGACAGAATGTTCAGCCCTTTTAACTATTTGTAAAATGAATCATTTTCAAGGACATGAGATATTTCTTTAAACTAGGGGTCAGCAACCTGTGGCTCTGGAGCTGCATGTGGCTCTTTCACCCCTCTGCTGCAGCTCCCTGTCACTCAAAATATGCGTCACAACCACCAATGTGCGACACCCACTGGCACACAATTTATTGAGCTTTTCAACCCCCGGTAGGCCAACCATGGATAAATCCAAGAAAAGAAAAGTTTCAGAAGAAAACAGAATGTTTAATTCAACTACATATGCTAGTTTTGTGGCCGCTCAAGAAATAGTCAAGTACGAGAAGGTTTTTGTGGCTCCCGGTGTTTTCTTTTCTGTGGGAAATGGGTCCAAATGGCTCTTGGAGTGTTTAAGGTTGCAGACCCCTGCTTTAAACAAACACTTTAGGAGAGGAAATGGAGTGGGGATGGGAGGAGATTAACAGAGATGATGGATGGATGGATGGATGGATGGATGGATGGATGGATGGATGGATGGATGGATGATGGATGGATCGCTGGATTGCTGGATGGATCGATAGATTGATGGATGGATGATGGACGGACGTATATTTTATTTGCTTGTTAAATCATAGGGAATCTTGGAGGTCTTCTAGTCCAACCCCTTGCTCAAGCCAGGAGCCTTATACCATCCCAATCAAATGGAGCACCCACAACTCTGGGAGGCAAACTATTCTTAATTAACTTTTCTCACTGCCAGAAGATTTCTCCTTACTTCAAGGTTAGATCTCTCTGTAACATACTTCTCTCCATTACTTCTTGTCCTGCCCTCTGGTACTTTGGAGAATAAGTTGACCCTCTCTTCTCTGTGAGAGTCCCTCAAGTGCAGTCCCCCACCAATCTTTCTCTTTGATAGGCTAGACATACCTAGCTCCCTCAACACAAGATTTAGCCTCCGGACCCCTTATCATCTTTGTTGCTCTTCTTTGCACACTTTCCAGGGTTTCAACATCTTTTTTTCTATCTTGATGACCAGAATTGGATGCAGTATTCCCAAATAGCAACTCTTGCATAGCTTCTGCAAGGCAAGTGGCTGTATTTGAGATGTGTTACATTTTCTTGGCACGCACTGAGCTGTATTAAAGTCCATTACACAGCACTTTCCCCAGTTGCCAAAAGTCAATCTTTTTGCTTTGCACAACATTTTTCTAAGGAACACTTGAATCAGGAAATGGGAAGTTTGAAACATCAAAGCGCTTAAAATCTATGAGTTGCTTGTCTCTTTATTCTTCTGGAAAAAGCTGGTATAAATATCTTCACTGGGCTGTGTTTGTTATTAACACAGATAATTATAAAGTTACCATTAAGAGCTACCTTAAATTTCATTTAGGATATATCTAAGGGTTTACCCCCAGGCAAAACAGGCCAAGTATCCCAGAATTTAAAACAATGTTTTCAAACTTGGCTACTTTAAGATGTCTGGACTTCCAACTCCCAGAATTCCCAGCCAACATGATTTAAGATGAGTTTGGCTAGGGAGTCAAAGTCCACACATCTTAAAGTTCCAAGGTTGAAAAATGCTGGTTTAAAATATAATTTGGTTTAGTTGTTTCTCAATCTAGGAGCTACAATACATAATAATATTATAATATCCCTCAAAGATGAGATCCCTCAGAGATTCCTTCCAACTTTATGTAATAATTCCATCAAGTGATTGCCCACCCAAACGTGCCCTCATGTGACGGGTCAAAAAAAGTCAGGTTGACTCTTGTGTCCACCACCTTTGCCTTGAAGGTGGTGGACACAGGAGTCAACCTGAGGATATTCCTTCTCCTGAGGATAATCCTTGATATCTTCAGTTGAGTTCTATTATTCTTCAGTTTTCACCCCCTTTTGTTCTGATTGCCTCTCCAAAGCTACTCTTTTGTCATGAAAGGGCCAACATTGTATTTTCCTTAATCTTTCTTTCTTAAGTTACCTACTCTTGAAACCAGTTTTCTTGGGATTGGGGTACCACATACTGCATCAATTTCTGAGCACTGTAACTGAGGAAAATTTAGAGAACTAGTGAAGGGAAATACTACAAGGCTGATCAGAAGACTGGAATCTAACCTATAGAGAGAAATCTTGACAAACTAAAGCAACTACTTGGATCATTGATATTCTCTGAGAACTTCCAGGAAGGAGCTGTCTTGACCATCTCCCCCCTGCCCCACCAAAGTATCTAAATTTCACCATGTTGCTCCATTGGAAGGCAGCCCCTCCCTCCTGGGAATCCAGACTACATTCCACCACACCTGAGAAGTCATTGCAAAAACTTGTGGAGGAGGTTAGATTTAAGAAAACACCAACAAGCGAGATATATGGTAGCATTTTCTCAATATTTGAAAGGTTTTGAGAAAGACAGGCAAACCCCTTTCTTGATCATCTCATAGGGAAGGGCCCTGAGTAATGAATCTCAGTT